ATATTTTTGATAGTTGTTGTTACATTTACAATCTGTAAAGAAAATTAATATTTTTCTATTCTAAAAAAATCATTTTTCTATAAACATATTTAATATTATGTTTTATAAATATATGTACCAATTAATTATGTATTAATTATATTATCTATATATATTAATTATGTTAGTAAAAATTTTTCATTAACAATTTTATTTCTTCAAATCAAAAATAAATCATAAAATCTATCCCTTATAATTATCATATTAACTTATACCCTTTTTGGTAATTTCTACATGTAAAAAGTGCTTCTGGTATAACTATCTAAACACTCTCACTTCTCAGAAATCACTTTTTCTCAGAATTTATTCTCCACAGAATCTATTCTCCCAGCATCACTTTTCCAAACCACGGTTTGGTTTCATCCAAACACACACCCTGACAAGCATGTGGTCCTTACTCTGTACGTTTATTTGACAAAACCAAAAGCCTCGATGCAGCTTTTTCAAGTTATTTAGAAGCGTTTTATTTCGCATGTTTTTTTTCAGTCAAATTGCAAGACTTTCCGATTAGCGTTTTGCGAGATGTCTTTCAATGACTTTGTTAATTCTCCACCGTAGACGTTTATGAAATACTTATTTTTATTTGAATGAAAATAATCACCATAAAAAACCGATATGTTCTATAGTTTGGAAACTTGAGTTATAATTTTGAAAAATAATGCTAGTAAATCATTTCTGTTATCAAAACATAAACGATATAAACCTTGTTACATTTTGCTACATTTTTTCAACATGAAATATAAAATCCAGTTGGAAATGGAACCTATCACACTCATTCAACTGTTGAATGAAGTCAGTCTCCTTTCTTTCTTGTACAACATTTTATTGACTAAATTAAATATAAAATTAATCAGGTGTTTCATTTTTAGCTAAGTCTCGAATCCATCAATCGCTGCAGCTCGAGAAGACTCAGTCCACTCCCATCTATATGAACTCCCCTAATATTCAAGATCCACTTGCCATGCAGAAAGTGATAGGCTTTTCGTAATAATGCATGTGATTAGGTCTGTCTCCTCTGACTCAGTCCACTCTTGAGACCAAAGCTTCGAAATATTATTTTTGACAATAAGATAGTTTTCCCATTGAAATAGCACAGGTGGAAATAAAGTTATAAATATACACGGGCTATCTGTGCTTCAAGGAAAAGCCACGAGAATGCACAGGCACGGCATGAATACTTCTCTGGGTGTTCGCTTCTCTATTCTCTTGTTGTTGTCTGAAATTGTAGGATTATGCTTTTGTGGAAATTCAAGCGTGGGATGCTTAGAACAAGAGAGGCAAGCTCTTCTCAAGTTCAAAGCAACCCTCACTACTGATCCATCAGATAGGCTTTCTTCTTGGAATTCCAGTGATTGCTGCCACTGGAATGCTGTGACCTGTGACAGAGTTACTGGCCATGTTCTCAAACTTGATCTCAGGAATCCATGTTATAGCTTACCAGTTGAAACTTGTGACTTTGGCCAGCAATCTGTGGGAGGTTTACACGTTGATGAATCTCTTGTGCAATTGGAACGCTTGAGTTACTTGGACTTGAGTGGAAACCAATTTCATGCTGCTCCAATTCCTCTCTTCTTTGCTTCGATGCATCAGCTGAGAAATCTCTCTCTCTCTAATGCTAATTTTAGCGGCAAGATTCCGCATAATCTTAGCAACCTCACCAACCTACTCCATCTTGATCTCAGCCTCAATGATTTCCAACTCAGTGACATGAACTGGGTTTCTAGGTTTCGGTCACTGCGAAGCCTTGACATGCATGACGTCGACCTCGGGAAAACACATGATGTATTCCAGGTATTTTACAAGCTTCCTTCTCTATCTTATTTGAATTTAGCTGAGTGTGGAATTCACTCCCTGATCCCTCCTCCTCATCACTCTCCTAATTTCACCCACCTTCCAAGGATTCAAGTGCTCGATCTTACTTACAATTCACTTGAAAGTCGCAGTCTTGATGTTTTCCAAAACCTGACTTCTGTTAGATTTCTTTACCTTAGTTTCAACAATCTCAGTTCATTGCCATTGTGGTTCAGTAAATTTGATAAGCTTGAGGAACTAAATGGTGCTTACAATGGACTTCGAGGTCCGCTTCCCCTTGTTCTCAAAAATTTGTCTTCCATAAGAGTCCTTGACCTTTCTTCCAACCATCTTACGGGTTCTGTTCCATCTTGGTTAGGTGAGCTAACCAACCTTCACCAACTAGTCCTTTCCTCAAACAATTTCACTTCTTTAGAATCCTCTCTATCTTTGATTCTAAAGAACATGTGCCGTTTAAAAACATTAGATTTCTCAACGAACAACTTCCACGGAAAGCATTTGGGAACTTTGAATCTGGATGTGTCACGTATGATCTTGAGCAGCTTGACTTGAGCTCGAACACATTTAATGACTCATTACCGAGCTGGTTAGGGGAGCTTGAAAATCTAAAGGAGCTTCATATATCTGAAAGCACATTCTATGGTCCCATTCCCTCTTCTCTCGGGAAATTGTCACAGTTGGCAAGACTTGAACTTGTTAACAATCATATGAATGGAACAATTCCTGAAAGTCTCACACAGCTTGTGAATCTAACTTTCTTGCGTCTTGCCGGAAATCAATTAGAAGGGTTTATTCCAAGCAGTCTCTCACAGTTGGTGAACCTGACTTTACTTGACCTTTCAAACAATCGTCTCAGAGGCACCATTCCCCGAAGCTTGGGCCAACTTGTGAAGTTGCAATACCTTGGTCTTGCCAATAATGGTTTACATGGTGACATTCCCGATAATTTTGGCCAACTTGTAAAACTAGTTGAATTAGATCTTTCTCTAAATAGTTTGAAAGGGTCAGTATCTGCTTTCGAGAGATGGTCATTTGAGCAGCTCACAATACTGAATCTCTTTGGAAACAGCATTAGCGGATCATTGCCTAAAAATATTGATGAGATAATGCCTGGGTTGGTGTATTTGCTTGTTGGGAATAACTCCATGAATGGTTCAATACCAAACTCATTGTGCAAAATTTCCACCTTGTTTCGACTTGATCTCTCAAGGAACAAATTTTCAGGTGAAATTCCAGATTGCTGGCAGGATAATCAAGGGTGGGATGAAATAAACCTGTCGTCCAACAAACTATCAGGTGGTATTCCAAGCACATTTAGTAATCTTTCCTCCCTGTTGTGGTTGCATTTGAACAATAACAGCCTTCATGGGGAGCTTCCAATGTCTTTAATGAATTTAAAGCAACTGGTGATTATTGATGTCGGTGAGAATCAATTTGTCGGAAGAATACCACCGTGGAATGGGGACACTTTTCCCATGTTACAAATTCTTAGACTACGACAAAACAAGTTGACCGGTAGAATTCCTTCACAGCTTTGTCAACTCCCATCACTTCAGATCTTGGACCTTGCAAGTAACAACTTAACGGGTTCAATACCTCACTGCATTGGTAATCTTAGTGGGATGATTAAATCCAACAGGTCAAATGAAGCCAAGGTAAAATTTGATTTCAATTTTTTCACAACAGACTTCACTGATGAGTGGCCTGCCGAGGATGTTAAACAAGTTGTGAAGGGGACAGAACTTGATTACATCAAAATATTGAAGTTTGTGGTGAACATGGATCTTTCTGATAACAATCTGGTAGGAGTTATTCCTAAAAGTATAACTCAGCTCACTAGACTGCACGGCTTAAATCTGTCGCACAACCATTTCAAAGGAAAGATTCCCGAAAGAATAGGAGATATTAAATCACTTGAATCTTTTGATATCTCTTGTAATAATTTTTCTGGTAGAATTCCAGAGACCATGCCTACTTTAACCTCATTGAGCCACTTAAACTTGTCATACAACAATCTTTCAGGACCAATTCCAACAGAAAACCAGTTTTTGACTTTGGGCGACCAACGGATTTATGCTGGCAACCCTTATCTTTGTGGATTTCCACTTCCAAATAAGTGTAATGGAGGTGATTTGGATGATCATGCTCATAAAAGTGAAGGCTCTAGAGATGACAAGGACGACAAGGATTCTGAGAAAGTGTGGTTTTATTTTGTCATAGCTGCTGGGTTTGCGATTGGCTTTTGGTCAGTCATTGGGACTCTCCTGTTAAAGAAGAGATGGAGATATGCTGTGTTTCGCCGAGTAGATGATGTGGCAGATGACATATATGTGTCCGTCGTATTGAAAGTAGCAAAGCTCAAGAGGATGATGAGAAATCATGTTGATGTTTGACCCCCTCCTAGTTTTGTGTCCCTTCTCTTTTTATTGTAACCAAGTGATGTATTATGCGTGTTTGCTAGCTTGTTGGAATAACTGTGCTTTTTTGTTAATTTATGTAATCTTTGTTTTATACTCCTCCTGTCCTAAATATAAAATTCATTTTGTTGTGTAAATTATACTACAAATGAGTCTTATATTTAAGACCAAAAGGTATATATATATAAATAGAATGTCCTCTTTATTTTGAGTACTTTTATTTTAATCCTAAATATAAGACCCTAATTTACTTTATCTCTTATATTTATTCAATTTTTTTCAAAGTAGTCATTATAATAATAGTAATACTGGCCAATATACTTGATTAGTAAAAATATTTTAGAAAAAATAACATCTATTTATTACAAATAACTAACTTAACTAATTTTCTTATTCTATTTAAATTAGCTAACTCTTATACTACCTCCGGTCTTTAATATAAAACCTTATTTGACTTTTATTTTAGTTTTAAATATAAGACTCTAATTTATTTTGTCTCTTATATTTATGTAATTTTTTTCAAGATAGTCCTTCTAATAATTGTAGTTTTAGTCAAAACATTTAATTGGTAAGGATATTTTAGGAAAGACAATACCTATTTATTACAAATAACTCATTTAACTTCTTTTCTTAATCTCTTCAAATTAATCAATTAGTTCTTATAATTAGAACCGGAAGTAGTATTAAGGATGAGAGGTAATGTATAGTTATCTCTCGTTTTTTTGTATATTTCTGTTTGCTCTCTGTGAATGTTTCAGAATATGCGCTGCAATTGAACAGCCTCTGCTAGCTTCTTACTCGGCGTTCATGTCGTTTTGTGTGCGTGCAGGTTACTCATAATTAAGCGACAAAAATGCAAAGTTGAAAAAACGAGAAAGAAACTACGACAAGAGTTGCCATGTGATTGCATGCAAATGCAACCTTCTGTTCGCATAATTAAAAATGCAATAATTTTTTTGGTCATTAAACAACATTAAAAAATTGGAAGCGTTGGGGCAATTAAAAAAAAAAAATTTACGATGGCTTCAGCTTCAATGGCTACTCTGTTTTGTAAGTCAGGCTATCTTTCCTGAATTTGTAAAGCATAAAACAATGTTTTAAATTCATAACCCAAAAATTCAAAAAAAAAAAATCTATAATTTGGCATAGATAATGTTTTGCCTCAGGCGACTCGTGACTGTCACGTGCTGAAACACATAATATCGAAAATAAACCAAGGGTTTCTTCTGTCTGCAACAGCCTTGTCTTATAATGCTGAAAATAAAGTAGAAGAGTAGACTCATCCTAGCTATATTTTCTTCAGAGAGAGTTGGGAACCAAACTTTAGCCACTTATTTCAAAAAGTTCTTACTATTTATACATACCAATCTCAATTGGTAGATGACCCTTTTTTGTTAGTAAGTGCATTATAATTATACATAAATCGCCCCTTACCTTCATATTCTGAGCCCTAATGTGTAAGAAGCCAAAATGACTAGCAATCCTTGTGATTATCGTCTCAAAATGTGAAAAAATTCTCATCAAAATTCTAAAAATAAACTTAGATCACTATGAAATAATGCGTGTTCAATCTGTATCTGTAATAATAATAATTGTTTTAAAAAAAGAATCCACAGCTGAGAAACCTCTAATTTAATAATCAACAGATTCACCTGTATATTCAAAGAACTAATATGTATATATTCAAAATTTATTGCACACCCTGTTTCTCCCAGTACTTTCTCTGCCACGATTCAACCTGCAGAAGTGAACCCTGCTTTCTCCTTAAATGATGATGTAAAGATGGAGGGTCGTAGGGAGGAGGCAGAGTGCATGGATTGGAATTTGAAGGAGCCTTCACCATCGAATCCATCATGAACTTCTTTTCCAGCCCTTCTGCCTTACAAACCATGGCTTCTGCACACAGCTCAACAGCTTTCTCGCTCACCCTGGGCTTGTATCTCAGCAACTTAGCATACGAACTTAAAAGATGAAACATGTAATCATACACATACTCCATCTTCAACTCTTCTTGTACGAAATCACTCGCTGCTTTTCCTATCTCTTGTGCCTGCAGTTTCCACAAACAATATTAACTCAGTGATCTTAGTTTTATATATACAACCACAATACAAGTCTTATCCCACTAAGTGGGATCAGTTATATGGAAGACAAGTCTTATCTTTGGCACTGGCTATAACACATAAGCAGGGTTTATAATTAGTGTGGAGTTTACCTTCTTTTTGTGGGTGTTTCCCCAATCAACCGCGAACTTAATGGATCTGCATTTGTCATCTTCCTTGATGGGCCAATAGTGGTGGAGTGGAAGCAAGCCTCTCGTGAAGAAGTCGTAGTAATGGGGCGTTACTAAGAAAGTGACAGAATCACAGGATAATATATATTTTTCACTCACGGACCAGGCAGACCCTTCAATGTAGATCTTATACCTGCATGCACGCATCACGAGTTTGCTTATTTTACAAACACGTATCAAGTGAACAATAATGCAAACTTGTTTAATATATTATTACCTGTGAGTGCATTGGCTGGCCAGGTCTGATTTCTTGAACCCTTGTCGAGATTCTGATATCCAATCCTGATATGATATATTGGAATATGGACGTGAGGCTTTGTGATGAATGAGAATAGTAAAGGTCACAGAGACACAGCTGAGAGAGAGAGAGAGAGAGACATGGTTAATTAGTTACCTGGGAGTATAAACGAGCATTCCAATCATGGGCTTGAGAGAGATTGCATTTAAGGAGGTCTTGTCTGGTTTCAGCAACGGCGGGATTGCCTTTCCAGTAAGCATAAGGCTCCCTTTTTGTCCATTTTGTTCTCTTGTTTCCTTCTTTCAACTCTCCCAACAGTCTCTCCCATGGCTTTATGTTCACCTCTGGCCTTCATCATATTATTTTTATCATTATATTATCAATTATGTTTGGTTAAATTGATTCATAATACTAGTAGTTTCTGCTTTCTAGCGAGTTTATTAAAATGCATAAAAAATTTAAAAAGAAGTTAAAAATCCCGTTAAAAAACGTAAAGATACTTTAAAAAACGATCTTGTTCAGAATTTTTTGTATCAGTGGTTCGACCGATTCATTAAAGCAGGCAAAAGTTTGTGTCTTGTTCAACCTATTACTGTATCAAGGTGAAATGAATTGTATTATTCACAACATATGAATAAAATCACCTTTAAATTTTATAAAATCGAAAATAAGAATCCCCGTTGAAAATAAAGCAATGGCATGAGCCATCATTTTATAATAAAACAACTGGATCATTCAAATAACTTATTCTTTGTTGGAACAAAGATTTTCATATCTTTTGAACATAATAAAAATTATATATGACTTCAGTGAAAGTCAATTAAATATGTACTCCTCCGGTCCTTATTATAAGACCCAATTTGACTTTTTATTTGGTCCTAATTATAAGACCCAATCCATTTTGTCTCTTATATTTATGCATTTTTTTTCAAGATAATCCTTCTAATAATGATAGTTTTAGCCAATATACTTAATTAGCAAGGATATGTTAGGAATGACAACACTTATTTATTATAAATAACCAACTTAACTTACTTCCTTAATCTCCTCAAATAAGTCAATTGGGTCTTATAATTAGGACCGGAGGAGTATGTTCTGTTATTCTGTTTCTAATGACATTTTGAGCAGAAAAATAATTTTTTAATATACATTATGAAGAAAATTTATAAAACCAGGAGATTAATCGGTATAGTTGACTGCAAAATTTAGGCAGTTGAACGAATTAACTCTAGTAGGTAAGAATTTGCAGAACAAACAAATAAATAAGAAGGGTTGGTGACTTACCATCCCCAAAAGGACCAATCAGGGAAAACAATATCCAACGTGGCATCATCGGCACAGTAACGGAAAAGCGGAGGTGGTTCCGTGGCATTGGGTCCGCTATAGTCAACGGTCCTAATCACAGGCCAGTCCACGCAATCGAACATCAGCTCCAAATCAGGAACCTTCCCTGGGTACCTTCGCAACAACTGTAGGATCCCCCACAGGGTAAAAACGTCTCTCGTCTGAAAAGCCTTCGTGTACGTCTCCACATACGCCTTCCCTCCCACTATCACCAGTTTGAAATTCGCCGTCCTCTTCGCCCTCTTCACCATCTCCTCTGTGATTCCCGTGTGGGCCCATGGCCTCAGATCTTCGTGTATCCAACGGAAGTACTCCGGACACGTGCCTGCTCCTTGACGGTCGTGATCATCTGATGAGGTAGGGTAGTTTCCTTGGCATTTTCCGGTGCGGCTGTATTCACTGCAATTCAGTGGAATTTCCACTTGCCTCCCGGAGTAGGAATTGGTCATGTACGACGTGGTTCCCTGCTTGTGACCTGGGAAAATTATCTGTAAGAAAAACCTTTGTCAGCTCCTGTGGCTGTAAAATATGTTGTTTATTTGGCATCATCCTTAAAAATATCAAAGTTTATTACCCCATAAGATTTGCAACCGACAAAAATTGAAGGTTAAGAAAAATGTAATCGACAAAAATTAATGATATGATACGATAGGATCCCACACACAGTTAACATGAGCATTAAGTATCCACTATCCAATGACTACTTGAACAAGTGATGATAATTTGTTTGACCAGAACGAATACTGACAGTACCACTTACCGTGTTGCATGATTACATATTTTGACGAGGACAAAAAAGAAAAGTATATATGCTTTTCCCATTCATAGCACAAGCCATTTTCTTCTAGTTTAACTTACTTTTTAATTAATATTTTTGGTGCACACGAGGTAATTAAACTAGACTTATATTATACTGCTACATGGGAAGAGCATATATGATGCCGAAAGAAACAGTTCGGAATGAATAACGTTGAAATTTATTAGAATCTATTATGCCTAATTGTAACGCTAGTTTATTCCGATGAGAATAATGCGCATAAATAAAGGAAGCAAAGTCAGTCGGGGGATTGAGACCAGAAATGGAAAGACCCAGTGCGCGCGATGTGGTCCCCACAAGTTCAAGTGCGCGCTAACGCGTGGCGCTATATCCTAGGGCTTTGTGGAAGTCACGAAATTTGAAAGGCACGAAAGTAGTTGCGGTCCCACAAGACTTATACTAGCCACTTGTGCAGACACGTGGCTTCATTTCCACAAACGCTCCTTGTACCCCCTGCACGAGTTAACCGACAATAGCGGCGCATGTCAACATTCAAAAATTTCGGGCATCAAAACGGTGATCACCCGAAACGACACGCCGTCGGAGCGACCTGAACTAGTGGGCCGTTTTACTATTCTACTACAACGGCAGGAAGTCGTTTAAATAATTTGGGAGGGTAAATAAAGAAATGGTGTGCGTTGGGAATTCCGGGTGACAGGAAGGAAACGTGGAAACAATTAATGAGAAGAGACTTTAGAGAGCCAATCAAGGTTGGACGCAGGGACACATACCGTGGGATTAAGGAAACGCGAGCAGACCAACGCGCCGACGACGAGGAAGATTGTGAACGCCAGAATTATAGAGGCTGGTCCGCCTGGTGACTTCATAAATGGTCGCCAGATCGTGTCTGGGAAATGACGGAAAGCCCACGATCCCATATTCTCGTACCCCTGAAACTGCGTCTGCAACCTCTGCCTCGCTCCCCCACACCCACCTCGCACTGTCCTCTGTATATTCCACATTCCTGCAAGATCCCACCTTTCTCACAGTCTCTTCACTGGCCTCGCTGAGTTTCTCAGCTACTGATTTGATCCTCATACACGAAACTCCAGAGCCTCGAGAGACGGGGAGAGATTGCTCTGTAACAAGGATGAGAATCGATGGTCAGTATGATTGGCCTGGTGTTGAATCATCAGCTTATAACGATTTGAGAGAACCAAGAAGAACACAGAGAGAGGGAGAGAGCGAGGAGTAACCTTGGAGATTTTCTTTTCGTGGGGTTGGATTTGGTAAAGAACCTGTATGAAAAGATAGATTAACCTTTAGAGGGGAAAAAGAAAACGGCAAGCAGATCGGATTGTTGGTTAATAGAAAGTTAGAACAGGGAAAGGAACTTAAAAAAGAAATCAAAAGAGGGGAGGGGAGAGAAGAAGAACGGTGGGATGAAAATAATTGTGGGATCTTTGAGGTGGGATCAGTGTGTGATGATTTGGTGACACTCACCTATTTATGTGATTACTTGTGTAATTATGTAGATAGACGTAGAAGAAAGAAGAAGAAAAAGTGGGATGGTGGTGGTGGAACTGGACCTAGAAATTATGAAACTTGCTGGCGAAGATCTTAAGAAGCATACAAAAGTTAGAGACTTACAGATTTAGCGGACTGTGTCTGATTCTGGGAATTTAGCTTCATGCCCTGTTTAGGAGCATCTCACTAATTTATATCTCTGTTTGGCTTTCTAGTTTCTAGTCTCCGGTTTGCCTTTTCGTTCATTTTTCTCGTCAGCATAAATCCTTTTTTTTTTTTTGGGGCATCGCCTGTCACCGTAAATCTACCCCCTCTCAACCGCAACTATTTTCAACAAGATATTAATTGATTGGGCCAGCGAAATATGAGACATCATTTGTTAGATTCCCAAAACGGCCACCCATGTCTGACTAAATAAAACCATTTTTATATTAATTGGAAAATACCAATTCGAAAACATTTTTTTTTTTTAAAAAAAGTCCTTTGAACTTGCAAGAATTCACCTAAATAGTAGTTTTTGCGACCAGGGCTCCCCTCAACTCAGAGGATCCGTGAATTGATAATTTAGACAATTTAAAATTCACATTTAAAGTCGTTCATTTCCAGTGCAAATCTCTTTTAAGCTCGTGATTGAGAAATTATTATTAAATCCAAATAATTTAAGTTAATGAATTTATTATAAATTTGGTAGTACTTCTCCCGTATTAATATAGAACCTAATTGTGAAGTTGATGTTTTACAAGCTTATTAATCTTTTTTTAAATTAATTCTATTAACATTCCCTTTATAATAATCAAGTAGGAGAAGGAGAAAGCGTTTTAGAAAAAAATATATTATATTAACTAATTTAATTAATATTTTTAATCTACTGAAATTAGTTAATTATGTTTTAGAATATCATATTTGGGCGAAATGAGATTAAACTGGAGCCTAATAAGTTGTGTCTAGAGAGTAAAATGGAAATTGGAAAATAAAGGAAAGAATGAATATTACTTCTTCGGTTACAGAGAAATTTCGGAATCCGGGGGTTTGAGTGCTGGGGATCAAGAGGATAGGGATTAGGAGGAGTTCAAATGCAAGATGTCTGAAAATGAAGATGACAATAATGTTGTGTCGTACAGTTGTTATCCTCTGAAATGGAAGCTTGAAAACGACAACTGTGTGATCATAAAATAAAAGGGAAACGACACCTTATGTTGTTCCAAGTGGAAGCAATGACTCATCGGTTGTTATCTCCATTAACTTTTCGGCGACTTCATTAAACTTTTTGGTCAACAACTTTAACTGTTACTCGAGAAGACCCTCCATTTTCTGAAAATTAAACAGATTCTCGAGAAGACCCTCCATTTTCTTCACCATTCGTTCCAGTTTGGTTGGTCTTTTTCGAAGTAACTTCATAATTGTATCATTCCTTGTTTAACCAATCATAACTCACTATTTATTATTTTATTCTGAATACTGATGAAGTGGTGATTAATATTCCCATAGATTTGTCTTTACTTTCAAGATGCCTTTAAATGTAAATGCTCCCCCTACATCCAGGTATTTTAACATTCATAACTGCATAAAAATCATGACATCTAAAAAAAAAAAAAAAAGCTTTGTCTTTTTTTCCCCCTACATCACGCACTTGCCCCTCCAATTTTCGTAATATTAGCGTATGGAACCTACAACCTTCTGTAAATATATTTATTTGAACAATTAGTCATGAATCATATTATAATTATACAAACGTAAAGTATATTTTAAGGCACGAGCAAAACAGTAAGCACCTCAGGATTTTCTCTCACTCAGCTAGCCATTATTTATGCATTGAATTAAATCAATAATGAATTACATGAATGACATTATGGCATAGCCTATACATACACTATCTCTGATTTTTAATATAAGAGTTAGTTAATTAATTTAAGTAGATTAAAAAAGTTTGTTAAGTTAGTTGTTTGTAATAAATATGTGTTGTCTTTCTTAAAATACCCTTGTTAATCTTGTCTATTAACTAAAACTACTATTTGATAAAATATTTAATATGTGCTATCACTGGAAGGATTACTTTAAAAATAAATAAATAAATATAAGAGACAAAGTAGTTTGAAGTCTTATATTGACAATAAAATTAAAAATTAAATTAACTCATATATTAAAAAGGAGAGGTATTATAAGTTAATTTTGGTGACTTCTCCTTCATTTGCCTAAATTTGAAAACTAGGGGTGGGGTTGGGGACTCACCGCCTCCCCCACTCGATGCGGTCATTGTCCATTAAAGCACCCCGCTTGAGCCTTGGACCCAGCCTCATCACATTGGGCTATATACTGGGCAAGTGAATAAATTTGGACCAATGGTATTCAGCCTAACCCTAGCCTATGCCAAGGGTGGCCCTGGCTCCTAATCCGTGCTTCCCATTCTTTTTTCTCTTTATACGAGATACTTTTTTTGGCATAACTTGTTTCCATTTACAAAAAGAACGCTTAACTATACATATGTGGAATGAGAGGATAGAATTGTATAGACAGCAATGCTCCAGCACGCCTTAAAACTTATTTTGTCTGTTTTTTTTTTTTTTAGTGGGCTGGCCTTAAGGTCTTTCCAGCCAATTATCAATAGCTAATCCCTTTTGACTTTTGAGGCACATGTATTATAGAAGCGGGCTTTCGTCCGTTTTAACAAGATATTTTTCATACACATGATTAGGACTCGATCGGACTCCTAACAATATATTATCTCATATTCTTAATATAAGAGCTAGTTAATTAATTTGAATAGATTAAAAAAGTTAGTTAAATTAGTTATTTGTAATAAATAAGCTCTGTTTTTTCAAAAATATCTTCACTAATCAAGTGTATTGATTAGAACTACTATTATTATAAGCACTGACTTGAAAAAATGGAATAAATATGAGAAATAAAATGGATTATGGTCTTATATTTAGGATGAAAATAATAATCAAACGAGCTCTTATATTAAAAACCGGAGGCGGTACTTAAATGACCCAATTATCTATTAACCATATCAAACTTTATTGATAGCTTGTTTTGCTTTTGATCAATCTAGTCTTGAGTGTGGTGTAAAAATGGGTCATTCTTTTTTTAAAAAACATTATTTTTAAGCTGATTAGAATAGAAGATTACAACAAACCGGAAATCCCAAATCAATTGTAATTTAGTTAGATGCAATTATATTACAAACACTGGTGACATGTAAAAATTACTTGGATTATATGGTCGATTGGATGAATCGAGAAGGGGGTTAGTCCAAAGTGTGAGTGAAAAATGAAAAGCAGAAGAAGAGGACCCCAGCACTAACAAGTTGGCCAAGCGGAATAAAAGCGGGTCTCAAGGCGATTGGTGGAAAAATATTATCAGTTAGGATTAAGATAGAATGAAGAAGGATATATATATATATATATATTACTTTCAGTCTTTAATATAAGATCTCATTTGACTTTTATTTTGGTCCTACATATAATATCTAAATTCACTTTGTTTCTCATATTTATCCTTTTTTTTTTCAAGATAACTCTTCTAATAATAATAATTATAGCTAATAAACTTGATTAGCAAAGATGTTTTAGGAAAAACAACACTTATTTATTACAAATAGTTAACTTATTTTTTTAATCTACTCAAATTAGTTAACTAACTCTTATATTTAGAATTGGAGGTAGTGTTAAAATGAGATGAAATATACGAAAGTAGACAAAATAAACACAATCCGAGATTCAAGAAGGCATAATTGAAAGAACAGGAAGGTTGAACTGGAGTTGGATAGGAATAAGGATTAGAGCACAAAAAGGACATGACACTTCACACAGCTGTCGATTTTGAAAGATATGTATCATATAATCCCTCCTTTTCAAAAGAAAAGAAAAGAATTCATTGTATTTCCTTTATTTTCTGTTCTGTTATTGATTACTTTTAGATTTCAAAAATACATTATATTGTGCGTGTACATGTATGTATGTAATTTGGGGGGGTTGTAATTAAGTGGTAAGGAAAGGGACATGACGTGAGTTATTTGTGACTCACAGTGAGCCTTCGGCAGCTTCGAAAATAATAAAAGGAGGCGTTACCTCAAAATCTCTGTCACCCTCACCCTTCCCATCACTGTGCTTCCTTCTTCCTTTACATCCATCTCTCTCGATTCTTTCTCTTTTTTCCAATTTCTTTCTTTATACTTATTACTTGGATTGAATTTGATTATTGTTTAACCCAATTTTTTTCCTCATCCCTCTGTCTACACTCCAAAAGAAGTTTTTTCTTTAGAAAATATGACTTTTTATATTAATTAATTATCCAATCTGAAGTATTTTAATTTACAATAACTGATTTTTAATTATATCTGAAAATATCCTAAATTAAATTCCCAAAAATACTTGAAAAGCCGAATATACTTTCATGCAAAATAAATTATTCACAAGTTATAAATATTAGAGCTTATATTTTTCATATTTCATGCCGTGTGCAGGTTTTTAAATAGAAAAATGCATCCTTTTTTTTTTTTGGGTTAAGGGTTTCACATCCAAAACTGTTTAATTAATCAAGAAAGTAAAAAACAATATGTGTTGGGTATAATTAATTAAGGGGGAAAATTAAGCAAAATGAGTTGGGAGCGTGCAAATAAATGATGGCCCTGAAAAGGTTTGACCGATCATCAATGGATGGACACAGTTTTTGTAGCACAAATCAGCTACATATATCCCCACACACCCCTTTTCCTTTTTAGCTTTTTCACCTGAATCAAATTAAAGTATATGTTTTGTTATACCATTCAGAAAATAACTTAATCCACGTATATTTATTTCTAATAAAAAACTCACACTATTCATAAATATATAGAACTATTAACTCTTTTATATAGTTCATAACCGACTTGAACTTCTTAAAAGACAGAGCTAACTGTTAATTCAATGCGAGGAGGAGCGAAACAAATCATAGGATCAAAGAATTTTTGTTCTCCCTAAAAACAGAAGCTGCTCTATATGTGTGTGTGTCTTTGTGTGTGTGTGTGTGTGTAGGATGTGTGTTTAAGATGGTTAGAAGAAAGATTTAGTCATAATCA